AAGAATGCTGAAAGTACCATGGACTGCTAAAAGAACTAACAGATCTGTCCTGGAGGAAGTGCACCCAAAATTCTCCTTGGAAGCGAGAATGGCCAGACTTTGTCTCATCTACTTTGGTCATGTCAGAAGGAACCATACCCTGGAGAAGGATGTCACGCTTGGTAGGGTGGAGGGTCAACGAAAGAGGGGGAAGCCTTCAGTGAGATGGATTGACACGGTGGCTATGATGATGGGCTCAAGTATAGCAGGATCATGGAGCTGGCGCGGGATCAAGCAGTGTTTTGTGTGCTGTGCATGGGGTCGCTCTGAGTTGGAAAAGACTCGCCGGCACCTAACAACAACAACAATACCTAGGATATCAATTTTTATGCATTCCATTTCATTTTTGACAACTTCCAATTTTCCTAGATTCATACTTCGTACATTCCATGTTCTGATTATTAATGGATGTTTGCAGCTGTTTCTCCTCAATTTGAGTCATGCCATGTCAGCACATGGAGGTCCTGAAAAACTTACTTTATCCATATCATTAAGCTTGTTCTATTCTGATGAGGCAGCTCTTTCCCAGTCCTATTTTGAGTGCCTTCCAACCCAAGGGGCTCATCTTCCTGCACTGTCGCACATTGTTTCCGAGCTGTTCATAAAGTTGCCCAGTGATGTATCAGACAGTGTTTCTCTGCTATTCATAAGGCTTTCCCTGGCCAGTTTTTGAGCAGTGGATGGCCTCCTCCTTCTTCCTAGTCTGTCTTAGTCTGTAAACTGCGTTGAAACCTGTGCACCGTGTGCGACTCTGGCGGCATCTGAAATACCAGTGACACAGCCTGAAGCCTCACAGCAATATACAAGCCCCACAGGATGACAAACTGAAAGACAGGTTTGTCTCCCTTAGCTATTGGAAACCTTTGTACCCTCCCCTTACCTAATTCCTGCCTGGAACCTGTCACTTTGTGGTCCCTGGCCGCTCCCTCCCTTTCCTGGCTCTAGGGGCTTTGGGGCCTAGCCTTGCCACCCTCCCCTTCACCTGTGTATCCTGCAGCTCCAGAGGTCCCAGGCCTCTCCCAGGTGTGAATATAGGTGCAAAGATATTAGGTGAAATTTGATTTTCGCTTCCTTGACCTCTTACGATGTTGGAGACCTTTTAAACCATTAGAACTTTTAGGGGCTTTTCCTCCCTTGATAATGTAGCTACTGGATTAAAAAAAAAATAAAGTATCATCATAAACTTAAAGGAATTACTGTTTTCATTGGTATTTTTAAAGAAACAAACTCTCTTTACCTTACACTGCTTTCTACAGAACTTATATTCAACTGATACATACTGGTATAGCCATGTTGGTTATTAAGCAGTGAAATACACGGTCTTACTGGTTGGTAAAGGGCTGCTGTTGTAAGCTTTCTAACTGCCCGGCCATCACCTGGCCTTTCTCCCAGGAACTCCACCCCTGTGTCCCCTACAATCCAACAATTGATTGAAAGGATCCTGCCCTTCTTCACTCTTCCTGCATCTGCACTGATTGCCCCTACCTGGGCCATCTCCATTATTTGATAATTTTTAATATCATCTTGACATTCTCACTGTTCTGGCAAATCATTACTATTTTATCAGTGTTTGCTTTCTGCCAACTCAAGTGTCAAATGGCTCTAGCGTACCTGCCATTGCTTATCTGTATATAACCAGAATTCACAGTTGCATTATTTTCAGAAAAAAATGGAATACCATTAGACGCTAGCTGTAATAGTCTCTTAAAGCACACCTGGTTGTTGTTTTTCTTTCTTTTTCTTTATTTTTCTCACTGTTGGCAGTCTGCCCTAAGTCCTCTGCTCTCTTGTTTGTTTCAGTTCACTTTGCACCATATCGGCCTCCAGATATCTCCTTAAAGCCTCTGCTCTTTGAAGTGCCCAGCATCACTACAGAGTCCGTGTTTGTTGGCCGGGATTGGGTCTTCCATGAAATAGATGCTCAACTGCAAAGTTCAAATGCCAGTGTTAACCAAGGAGTAGTGATTGTGGGAAATATCGGGTTTGGCAAAACTGCCATCATCTCCAGACTGGTGGCCCTCAGCTGCCATGGCACACGGATGAGACAGATCGCCTCCGACAGCCCACATGCCTCCCCCAAGCGTATGTATTCCTTTTTAAAGAACTCTTTGCTTTGTTGCTCTGAAATGTTTTCTGACATTTATATTAGATCACATGTCCTTTTATTTCCTGATTTGCAAAATCTGACTTGCATGTGAGAGTCGTTAATTCCAAGTTGAGAGAAAGAAATCAGTATTTTCTTTACGTTTAATCCACCGGTCCAGCAGTCACCTAAGTGTGACTGAAAAACCTTTCTCTCAGAAAAAAAAGTATGACTCTTCCCTACTGGCTATATGGCTAGTCTGTCCTTTGGACAGTGACTACAGCAATTGCCTGTAGAGCCATTTGCATCCATCACTGTCAGCTTTTGCTCTGCCTGTGCCCATTTCTTCTGACATGCCAACACAGTCTGTTTGCAGCCTTCATTTCCTTGCTATTGACGTCAGTGTTGCACTGCTCAGGCTTGAGCTTCAATTGTGTCCTTGAATGGTTACTTCTGCCCTCTTGTGAAAAGGTACTGAGCTCTTCTCTGTATTCATACTTCTTTCATCACTGGCAGGACACAGTTTAATGATCACCACCAGGATCTTGTTTGTTTATTTTAAAAACACTCATATAGTGCTTACTATGTGCCAGGCACCCTTGTAAGTGCTTCACAAATAAGAATTCATCCAGTCCACATAACAACTCAGTGAGGTGTAGTTGTTATCTTTATTTCGCAGATAAGGAATAAGTCAACTCCTGTTGACTCCCAGGTCTCACAGCCAATAAATGGTGAAAGTAGAATTCAAGCCCAAGCAGTCTGGTTTCAGAATCTATTCTCTTCAGTATTTGCTATGCTGCCTCTCCTTCTTAGTGGAACTTAGGAGTTAAAAAGGGATACGTAGATGTTCTTCTGTGTCCACTCAGTCTACAGAACAAGTCTCCTTGGTTTCTGTGAGATAGGAAAACAAAAAAGGAAACTACTGCTCTGCTAATCCGAGTCAGCAATCTCTCCCCCAACAGATTTCAGACAACAGCTGCTAGAAATGGTTTGTGTGAGATCTTAGTAGTTACAGGGTCTAGTCAGGACTGGAAATTTAAGAGAAACTCACTGAATGCCTTCCAAATATCCTGACTCCTGTTGAGAATAGCACTCTCACGACATTAAGTAGACAGCTTGCCTCTCCTAAACATGGATGTGAAACGTGGAAGAAGAACCCGTTTCCTCACTTTCTAGGAAGAAAATTGTTAAGGGATAATTGTTTAACTGTTAAGGGCACTATCATGTTGTTTCCCTATGAAACCCTTCTGAGGTAGATTAGCATAGTGTCCTGAAGTCAGGAGCCCATTGTATTAGTTCCAGCACTCCAGCTGACATACTTTGTGACCTTCAGAAATTTACTTTAATTCTTTAGATCTCAGTTTCATGTGTAAAATGAAAAGTTGGACTAGCTGATATAGAAAATTTACTTATTTAAAAATCTGTGATTCTAAAAACATGTCTTCATGGTTAAAAGTAACTTTCTATACCTCTTCCAGTAATTTCCTTTGAGTGCTTAAATATCTTTCATACTAAACTACTTCTTATCTGAGTAGTCCAAGAGGTTAGCTATTTGAGTGTGTCAGAAAGCAAACCAGATAGCTAACAGTGTCTCTGACCTCTCTGTGTATCACTGTTGCAGATAACAGAATGGTAGAATCATGCATGACAGAGGATAAACCCCAAGGGCAAGAAGAGCTGCTTTCTCAGAAAGCAAAGGTACCTGGGGGTCCCCTAAGGGAGCCTGGGAGAGAGTTCACAGAAAATAGCCCATGTACTCCCCAAAACAGAGGTTCTTTAGAAGTAGTTGATTAAGTTGTTCTCTAATGCTCATTGCATTTTATCTGCTGAGACTCTCCAAGAACACTGGGACACGCCCCAGTGATGAGATGAGTGTTCCTCATGGAGACTATGTTTTGCCTGATAGTCAACTTTCAAAACTTGGAAAGGAATCAGGGGAGACAGAGTATATGGCTTTCTATTTATCAGAATTAGAGAACCAGCACTTGCCTCAGAAAAAATAATTTTTGTAATCTGTTGATGTTCAATCTGTATTCTACCTTGGCCATTTTAACAGAACTACTAGTTCTTTAGAAAGGGTTAAAAATAATTGACTGATATAATGCCACCTATTTGTGAGCATAAATCTAACTATTACTGTATGAACTAACACTGAAAGTATTACTGGCAGCAGAAATTTTTTCATAATAAAAATGATACCTGTATATCGAAGGTTAATTTTTATTTTATTTTATTTTATTTAAGTTTAATTGCTGTTAAACTTGACAGGTTTATTTGGAATCCCACTGACGTTCCTAACCCTCAGTCAGTCATACCAATGATGTAGTTATAGTAAAGATGGAAATAAACTGAAAATTGTTGGCGCTCCTCATTTCCATCTCTGCGTCACCTGCCGTTCTTTCATCTGCCTCTGCCTCCTCCACGCTGAGCAGCGCTGCTGGAGAAGATGTCGAGCCTGCAGTGCTGCATTGCCTGGCTCCTCCTTCCCCCACAGACTCTCAGCCCCCAGCCCACCCCCTCCTTGTCATTTCTCAGGGAACGTACACGAAAGCTGTCAAGGCAGGCAGTAGCCTGTCATCCTGCTTTCCACCTACACCCTTACCCAAACCTAACTCCCTTCATCACTCTCCTCTACACCACCACCACCACCACCCACCCACCCCAACCCTGCAACACACTCAGAAAGAACAAAAACATTTTGTGAAAATTGACCTGTTGTATAATTCAGGCATTATTACATTAACCACAAGGATACTCAGTGCAGTGGTTAGGGAAGTTCTAATACAAAACTGTATTTTTCCTATTACTAAGAGTCTCAGGGTAGTTATTATTTGGGTTTGACATTTGTCAACAGCTGCCATGTCCCAAACAGCTGTTTAAGTAAATCACCCCCACCCTCCCTCCTCTGTTCATTTTGGAAGTCTGTTTTGCCAGTTTTTTAATATGCATAATAACTGCCACCTACCTATTAACTTTTATTTCTGAATACCAAAGAGAAAGTAAGACAGTCAGAAAGAAGTGCATCACCAAAAGAAAGCAGCTAGAAGTCAGAATATTCAGACAAAATGACCTGCAAAATCGAATACCAGATAAAGGGGAATGGGGTGGTGGGAGGGAGTGAATAGCAGAAATGATATAGTGACAGCCAATGACTACAATCTAATTTTAGAACATCCCTCCTTAAAAGAAATCCCATACCTATTAGCAGTCAGTGCCATTCTCCCACTACCTCACCCCAAGCCCTGAGCAACCGCCGATCTGCTTTCTGTCTCTGGATTTTCCTGTCCTGGACATGTCATATAAATGGGATCAAACAGTATGTGGCCTTTTGTGTCTGGCTTCTTTCACTTAGCTTAATGTTTTTATGTTGTAGCATGTATCATTATTTCATTTATTTTTATTGCCAAATAGTATTCCATTGTATGGATATACCACATTTTATTTATTCATCAGTTGATGGGCATTTGGGTTGTTTCTACTTTTTGGCTTATGAATCAGGTTTCTATGAAATTTGTGTACAACTTTGTGTGTGAACATCTGTTTTTATTTCTCTTGGGTATGTACATAGAGGTGGAATTGCTGGGTCATAAAACAAGTGGAATTTAACCAATCTCCCTTTAATTCAGAATTTTATCATGATCTGATGCAAATATCTTTCTAATCCAGATGTGGATGCCAACAGAGAGTTGCCACTCACACAGCCACCTTCAGCCCACTCATCTATCACCAGTGGAAGCTGCCCAGGAACCCCAGAAATGCGTAGACGGCAGGAGGAGGCTATGCGAAGATTAGCCTCACAGGTACAACAGTATACCCAGGTTAAAGACTCACTGCCATCAGGTCGGTTCTGACTCATGGGGACCCTGTGTGCTGCAGATGTGCTATTTGCATTTAATATCAAGGAGGAAAAGGTGGGGAGATCTTTGGCAAAGTGAACAAAAACACGTACAGGTATACCAAGAGAACATGGAGAAAAGTTTCTCTTTCTTTGTTATTCCTGGAAAAATACTTTATTATTATGGAATCAACAGAGCCTTAGAGCTGGAAGGGCCTTTGGAAGTTATCAGAGTGCTCTAATGAGAGTGGTCTAAGGAATAAAAGTTGAGACTCAGAGAAGTTACATGGTTTACCCCCGACCACACTGTAAGTAATCAACAGTTTGGTTTTTATGTTGTTTCCTGGTTTTTTTTTTTTTTGTTTTTTTTACTCATAGCTTAAAACTCTCCTGCTGTGCTACAGTGTCCATAATGTTTTTTATATGTTTGGGCTTTACATTTTTATTTTTTTATCAAAGTAACACATGTACATAGTTCAGAAAATGAAATACTCAAAGGCTTATAATAAAAACCATCAGTTTCTTCCCCTCCAACCCACTTACTCCCTAAGGGCAACCACCTTGAACTCTTAAGGCTGCTTCTCTGATCTCTACCTCCAAATTTCTAAACAGTATTCATGTACTACTATAACTTTGTTTTGTCAGTTTTGTACATTGTCTGTTGGTTCATGTATGAATGATGAGAATTTTGGCTCTTTCATCTTTCTAGTACAGTTACGCTATGATTTTTGGCAGAATCCATTATTTAGCATTTTTTAGTATTAAGACTATGCAAATCTGTTTCACAGTTGACCACGGAATATCTTATGATAACTTTTTATTTCTTAAATAGTTTTGTTTTTCCTAGAGTTAATGAAATGCTTCATTTTTTAATTTGCTTGTTTTTCTTCAACCGTGTGGCTAAGTTATTCAGTAACCATGTAAACATTAATAACTTTGTAAATGCCTCTTCATACAATATTTCACACTTACCAGTTTGTTTTTCCCCTGGAGGCATCCAGCCTCAGTCTCTCCACTGGACTCCAGTCTGGACCCTGGATGTTCTCAAGGCTTACCCCTCATTGTTATCCTAGAAATTCCTGTCACTTCTTTGCTTTACCCCATGCCTTTTTCCTTGATCTCATTTCCCTTTTTTGTGGAACATATCCTCCAGTAGCTTCCTAAGAAAGAATACAGAGGAACTAAGTTTTCTGGGAATTTATCTTTCTAAAAGCATCTTTATTCCATGCTTTTCCTTTATTATTTTGACATAGTATATAATTCTACATTAAAAATTATTTTATCCCTCAGATTTCTTTTTAAATCATCAGATTTTTTTTTCCTTTTCTAAAAGCTTTATTGACCATGAGTCTGATTATTATTATTTTTATTTTAATTGTGCTTTGGGTGCAAATTTACAGAACAAAATTTGTTTTACATTCAACAGTTCATGTACATTTGATTTCACACCCCAATTACCATCCTGACCATAATTTACTCTTCTCCCCTCCCATCCCTGTGACCACCCCCTCCCTGTGATCTTCTTAACTATGCACTCCTGTCTATCCAGCTTTCCCTCCATGTGAATGCTGCCCCTCTGATACCCCATGGACAATTGCTCTAAGGGGTGTATTTCCCTAGAGTAGGTGAGTGCATCACCCTGGGGTGGGTGTTCTTCATGTAAGTCTTTCTACCATTGGGCTGAGAGCCAGTCTTCAGGAGTGAGTCCAATCCTAAGCCCGAAGGGTATCCCAGGGCCAGTCTTGGGCATCCCACCAGACTGTATCTGACAAGTAATAATGGTTATTTTTGTGTTTTTGAACTTTGTTCCACATTTCTTCTCCCACTCTATCCTGGATCTCTGGGTTTGATCCCTTCCTGTGTGGTTGGCATTGGTAGCCGGGCACCATCTAGTGCTTGTGGTCTTGAAGTCCATCTATCCTTGGACTAATTGTTTCCAAATGGCTTTGAATTTCTTCACTCTTCTTTGCTTCAGATGGGAGGAGACCAATAGTTGTATCTTAGCTGGGTGCTCAAAAGCTTTTAAGACCCCAGTCATTACTCATCAAAGTAGGTTGTAGAACAATTATTAATTAAATATGGAAAGTTGGCCGGCCCAGTGATTCTCTCTCTCAAGGTTAGCCATTAGAGAGATGCAAATCAAAACAACAGTGAGATATCATCTCACCCCAGCAGTAATAGCAAAGTTCAACAAGACAGAAAACAATAAATGATGGTGAGGTTGCAGAGAGACCTCTGAGAGGTTACTCCAACTATGACTTCAGTTGTTTCTGTGATGAGTGTGGCTAATTTTGTATCAAAAGTATCTATGTAAGATTATCTTCAGCTAAATCTATCCTTGGTCTAGGGTGCATTGCTGTTCACCAACCCCCACCTGATCTTCTCAATTGTCTGTACATTTATCTGTAGCCTGGTATTTGGTGTTAGTGATAATGCAGTATTGTGCATATACTAGTTTTTGCCTCTGTTGTCTATATCTTATGTTTCAGTGTCCTTCCTTTCCCCAGTGGCATCATGCTGGTCACAGACTCTTTCCATACTGTCCCTCCCCTTAACCAAATCAACATGTGGCCTCCAACTAGTCTGAAATTTTCCCTCCCGTTCCCAGTAGCCTACAAAGTGAGTTCCCTTCCCTAAGTAAACTCTTCCTTGACTTTTTACAAAAATGAACTCCTACAGTATTTGTCCTTCTGCGATTGACTTTTTTCCTCAGCATGATGTCCTCCAAATTCATCCATGTTGTAAGATGATTTACATATTCTTCATTATTCTTTAATGTAGCATAGTATTCCAATGTGTGAATGTACCTTAATTTGGTTATCCATTCATCTGTTGATGGGCATTTAGGTTGTTTCCATCTCTTTGCTATAGTGAATTGTGCTGTGATGAACATGGGTGTGCATATGTCTGTGTCCTGCCTCTCATGTCTTTAGAATATATTCCTAGTAATGGAATTGCTGAATCAAATGGTATTTCTGTTTTCAGTTTTTTAAGGAGATGCCATACTGCTTTCCACAGTGGTTGTACCATTCTGCAGTCCCACCAGCAGTGTATGAGAGTTCCAGTCTCTCTGCAATCTCGCCAGCATTTATTGTTTTCTGTCGTGTTGAACTTTGCTATTATTGCTGGGGTGAGATGATATCTCATTGTTTTGATTTGCATCTCTCTAATGGCTAATGACTATGAGCATTTCCTCATGTGTTTGTTGGCCACCAGTATATCATCTTTAGTGAAGTGTCTATTCATGTCTCTTGCCCATCTTTGAATTTGATTGTTTGCCTTTTTGATGTCGAGGTGTTGAAGTTTTCTATAAATTTTGGCAGTAAGTCCTATGTCAGATATATCATAGCCAAATATTTTTTACCACTCTGTAGGTTCTCTTTTTACGCTTTTGGAGAAGTCTTTCAATGCACATAGGAATTTAATTTTAAAAAGTTCCAGTTATCTAGCTTCTCTTCCACTGCCTGTGCATTTTGGGTTATGCTTGATAGTCTATGCCATAAATTAGGGTCCCTAGATTTGGCCTCTATTTTATCTTTGATGAGCTTTATAGTTTTAGGTTTTACATTTAAGTATTTGATCCCAACTTGTGTTTGTTTTTGTGTATGGGATGAGGTATGCATCTTGTTTAATTTTTCTGCAAGTAGATACCCAATTTTGCCAGCACTATTTGGTCATGTTGTCAGAAGGGACCATTCCCTGGAGAAGGATGTCATGCTTGGTAAGGTGGAGGGTCAACAAAAGAGGGGAAGGCCCTCAACCAGATATTGACATGGTGACCACAGCGATGGGCTCAAGTATAGCAAGAATCATGGAGCTGGCTCAGGACCGGACAGTGTTTCATTTTGCTGTAATAGGGTCACTGTGAGTTGTAGACAACTCGACAGCACCTAACAACAATAACAACATTTGTTGAAGAGGCTATCTCTCCCACATTTAATGGGTTTTGATCCTTTGTTGAAGATCAGCCGTCCATAGATAGATGGGTCTATTTCTGGATTTTCGAGTCTGTTCTATTGGTTTGTCTATCTATCATTGTACCAATACCACACTGTTTTAACTGCTGTGGCTATATTGTAGGTTTTGAGATCTGGGATTGTGAGACCTCCCACTTTGTTTTACTTCTTCAGCAGTGGTTTGCTTATCTTAGGTCTCTTTTCTTTCCATATGAAATTAATAATTTTTTTTTTTCCATATCCTTAAAAACTGTTGATGGTATCTGGATCAGGATTGCATTTAATGTGTAGATTGCTTTGGGTAATACTGACATTTTCACAATATTCAGTCTCTCTGTCCATGAACAGGAATGCTTGTGCCTAAGGCATTTGACTGCTAACCAGAAGGCTGACAGTTCAAACCCACCAGCCACTCCTCAGAAGGAAGATTGGGCAATCTAGTTCTGTAGACATACCACCTCAGAAGCCCAAAAAGGGGTCGCTGTGAGTTGGATTCTACTTGACAGCAGTGAGTTTGGTTTTTGGTTTAGTTTGGTTTGGTTTGGTTTATCCATGAACAAGGCAAGTTCTTCCATTTATGTAGATCCCTTGTAGTTTCTTGTGGTAGTGTTTTGTAGTTTTCTTTGTATAGGTCTTTTGTGTCTCTAATAAGATTTATTCCTAAATATTTTATCTTTTTGGTAGCTATTGTAAGTGGTATGGTTTTCCTTATTTCCTTTTCAGAGACCTCTTTGTTTATGTAGAAGAATCCAACTGGTTTTTGTAATTGACCTTGTATCCTGCCACTTTGCTGAACTCTCTATTAGTTCCAGTAATTTTTTTGCTAAGTCTCTTGGGTTTTCTATATATAGGATTATGTCATCTATGAATAGAGATAGCTTTACTTCTTCTTTGCCAATTTGGATGCCTGTTATTTCTCTTTCTTGCCTTATTGCCCTGGCTAGGACTTCCAATACAATGTTAAATAGAAGTGGTAATAGAGGGCATTCTTGTCTGGTTCCCGTTTGCAAGGGGAATGCTTTGAGTCTTTTTCTATTAACAATAATTCTGGCTGTTGGCTTTGCGTATATGCCCTTTATTACATTGAGAATCTCCCTTCTATCCCTATTTTGCTGAGAGTTCTGAACAGGAACAGATTTTATCAAATGCCTTTTCTGTGTCAATTGATATGATCATATGTTTCTTTTGTTTTGTTTGTGTTTTGTTTTTCTGATGTTGAACCATCCTTGCATACCTGGTATGAATCCCACTTGGTCATCATATATTATGTTTTATATATATTGTTGGATTCTGTTGGCTAGGATTTTGTTGAAGATTTTTGCATCTATATTCATGAGGGATATTGGTGTGTAGTTTTCGTTTTTAGTAGTGTCTTTCCCTAGTTCTGGTATCGGTGTTAAGCTTGCTTCATAAAATGAATTTGGGAGTATTCCATCTTTTTCTATGTTCTGGAATAGTTTGAGTAGTACAGGTGTCAGCTGTTTCCTGAATGTTTGGTGAAATTCTCCAGTGAAGCCATCTGGGCTAGGACTTTTTCATATGGGAAGCTTTTTTATGACCTGCTCAATTTCTTCTTTTGTTACAGGTCTGTTCAACTATTCTATCTCTGACTGTTACGTAGGTCTTGTGTTTCTAGAAGCTTGTCTATCTGTTCTAGGTTCTTGAATCTGTTGGAGTATAGTTCCTCATAATATTCTGTCAATATTTTTAATTTCAGTTGGTTCTGTTGTGATGTCACCCTTTTCATTTATTATTTGTGTTATTTGCATCTTCTCTTTCTTTTCCTTCATTAGATGTGCCAGTGGTTTGTCAATTTTGTTAATCTTTTCAAAGAACCAGCTTCTTGTTTTGTTGGTTTTCTCTATTGCTTTTTGTTTTCTGTTTCATTTGTTTATGCTCTGATCTTTATTATTTCCTTACTTCTGGAGGTTTCTTTTGTTGCTCTTTTTTAATTGTTGAAGTTGTTGAGTTAGAGTGTTGATTTTGTTTCTTTGCTCTTTTTTGATGTGTGCATTTAGTGTCTGGGACAGGGAAAATACTAGATGAGCTTAGACTATCTTGTGGTACTAGCAAGTAAAGAAGTGCTTGAAAAAGATGGGGATGGTTGAAAGAACAAAGACCACAAGAGAGCCACCCTGAAGGAGCTCCTGATGGCCAAAGCTGGAACAATTTGAGCAATAAAATAAATAAATAATTTGATTATAACCAGTAGAATAATAAAATATATATATATATGAGTCCATACTGATTAAATAATCAGATAAATATAGGGGAAAGGACAGCTCTTTGTTTCAGTCAAAAGAACTAATGCAACATTTAAGTGCTCAGCTGCTAACCAAAGCAGTAACCAAACAGGAGAAAGATGTGGCAGTCACTTCCATAAAGAGTACAGCCTTGGAAACCCTATGAGACCGTTCTGTTCTGTCTTGTAGAGTAGCTATGAGTTGAAATCGAGTTGATGGTGGCCAACAATAAAACCTATAGGCCTGCCCTTTACTTTCTTCCCTAATAAAAGTTATCTAAAATTCACTCAGTCTTCTTCCAAAGAATCAATACAACTCTGGTCATATCAGATATATTTTTGGCAGAATTATTTTAATAAATAGTTTAGGGATTTAACATAAGGAGAACTTTAGATTTAACAAATAATTAATATAAGTAAGACAGAACTGAAAATGAAATTTAGACAACTCATTTTGAGAAGTAAGAATTTACCACCAGGAAAGGTTTTCCCAGCTGATTTACTGAGGGTGGACTGATTCTGAACCATTTCTAAGAGGTTATAATAGTGACTCAATGTGGATGGCCATGGTGGCTTCCTCAAAGCTGTAGAGAGTGATCTAATATCTGTCACTGAGCTCTGGTGCAGTGAGAAACTGAAGAAAAATCTACATTCTCAGGTTTGCTTCCTATTTTTATCCATAGAAGAAGTTGTAGATGATGTCACTAGATAATTTTTAGGGAAATACCAAGTGTTTTTGATAGATTATGCAAACAATGTTGTTGTTGTTGTTGTTATGTGCCCTCGAGTCGGACCCTACTCATAGTGACCCCTCCTTGGGTTTCCGAGGCAGTATCACTACAAAAGTAGATTGCCCCATCTTCCTTCCAAGGAGTGGCCAGTGGGTTTGAACCACCAGCCTTCTGGTTAGCAGTCAAGTACTTTAGGCACTATGCTACCAGAGCTCCTTATGTTAACATATACATAACAATAAACCAAAGCCTACTGCCATTGAGTAGATTCTGACTTATGGTCAGAATGGAGTAAAACCATCCCATAAGGTTTCCAAGACTGTAAATCTGTACAGAAGCAAACTGTCACATCTTTCTCCTACAGAGTGGCTGATGGGTTTCAACTACTGATCTTTCAGTTAGTAGCCGAGCACTTAATCACTGCGCCATCAGGGCTCCGTACTTACAATACCAAACCAAAACCAAACTCACTGCCATTGAGTTGATTCTGACTCATAGCGACCCTCCACTGGGTTTTTAAGTAAATCTTTAAAGAAGCAGACTGCCTTATCTTTCTTCCACAGAGCAGCTGATGGGTTCAAACTACTGACCTTTTGGGTAGCAACCCAATGCCTTAACCACTACACTACCAGAGCTCCTTGTATATATAATAGATACTTTGAAATGTCTAGTAAATAACCAATTTTGAATCACACTGTATATCTCACGAAGATGTTGAATGATTTTTGTGTCTGAATTCTGTAAAAAAGTGGAGACTGTATTTGAAATGCCAAAGAATTGTTTGAAAGTAAAAGGAGAGAGGTAGCCACAGAAGGTGCAACTTTAGCATTGACCTTCGTTAGATGAAACTTCATTTAGTCAAGAGCACAGATGATTTTTAATGAAATTAGTAACCTACCCCACTGCCATGGAGTCAATTCTGATTCACAGTGACCCTATAGGACAGAGTAGAACTGCCCCATAGTGTTTCCAAGGCTGTAATCTTTACAAAAGAAGGCCTCATCTTTCTCTCATCGAGCAACTGGTGGGTTCAAACTGCCCACCTTTTGGTTAGCAGCCCAATGCTTTAACCACAGCACCACCAGAGCTCCTTTGAAATGAGTAGCAGAACCCTTTTCTGCATTTCAGAATTTTTTTCTTCAAACTGATATCCTGTTACTTTAGGTAAAGGTTAAGTTGCAACTGGTTTGTTCACTTGTGCTTAGCCTTGACGTGGAATCAATGGAGATGAAATATGATGAAAAGTTCATATTGATTCAGAGGTTTGCTGTTTGCTTTTTTTTTTTTTTTAAGTAGAGATTTGTATCCATGTAGACGTAACCATTGACATTTACTGTTCATTGAAAGAACAGATCAATTGCTGCCAAGTTTTCTCTTTGGGCTATTTAAGCTGTGCTTAAAATAGGTAATAAAGCAATGGCCAATCTAAAAAATAATACAGAGGGAAGGCTCCATTTTTATTTTTAAATTTTAATTGTAGATTATTATAGTTGATGTATACAATAGCAGAATTGTATCACATTTCCTATCTTACATGAATCAGACAGTTTCAGAGTTGACAACTTTTAGTTTTACTTGAAAAAAATCTTAAGGAGTGGGGAGACAGAAGCTAGTATTAGAGAATAGTCGTATAATAACCATAGTTACTGCTCTTGCTACTCATAAGTTTATTTGCATTCTCATCTTTCTTTTGTAGGTGGTTGCCTATCACTATTGCCAAGCAGATAATGCCTACACCTGCCTGGTGCCCGAATTTGTCCACAATGTGGCTGCCCTGCTCTGCCGCTCACCTCAACTGACAGCCTATCGGGAACAGCTTCTCCGGGAGCCTCACCTGCAGAGCATGCTGAGCCTTCGGTCCTGTGTTCAAGACCCCATGGCCTCCTTCCGCAGGGGAGTCCTAGAGCCCCTGGAGAATCTCCACAAAGGTACAGATGAGGTGCAGAGGAGGTGAAAGGTCACTTGGGACATGCTATGGAAATTATTATTGTTATCACATTGCCAAACTAAATGTTCCATAGCTGGTATACTGGAATAGGATATAGTTAGGAGATAAAAGATTTTAGTTGCAGGGGAGTGGGGGTAAAAAATTCTATAGGAACTATAACTTCCTCCTCTCTTGATAAATATTCTGATCCTCATTTTCAAATATAATACATTTTTTTTTGTACATAGTGTAGTAGAGCTTCTAGTCCTTTCTCTGGAATTCAGATAAATTAGTGAAACTGTGGCTTCCCAGTCAATGTTGTGGCGTTTCTATGAACACCCCAATTCTGTCTGTTCGATGTTTTCTATTACTCTTAACAGTTTAAGTAAAATGAAACCATAAGCATGATCACACAACTCTATGTGTATGCTAAAAAATCACTGGATTCCTTTCTTCCCTTTCACCTCTGCCACTCCAGTGTTGAATGTGGCTTAAGTGCAACCGTCTCTTCAGAGATGTCAGCGCTGAAAGACAAAGAAAAGGATTTGAGTACGCATGAGATTCCTGAGAAACTTACATGCCTTCTCAAGGGTTTCAGAAGTCCTTGTAAGAAAAAAAATGATTATAATTTCTGGTCTCTTGGCTACCATCCTCAGTGATTTCAGCCTCATGTTGGCTACTTGGGTATTACCATTTCTTTTTCCTCTCCACTCTGATTACCTCGGTTCTACCTCTCCTACCTCTTAGCTTGACCATACTCTAGCCCTTTTAAACCTTGAATGTCTCCACAAATACTTTTAATCAGATTTTCTGTACATTCAGTTAATCTCTAAATCCCTTTAATTCTGCCTTCCTGATACTTTCCACATCTGTTCATCTCAAATTCATTTCTACTGTTGTCTCCCCAATGGCTCTTCAGCTATCCATGACTACCCCTTCATGTTTTTGTCTGGTTTTCTAATTTAATACTTCTCCCACATTATAACACCCTTAGAAAATTATGAAATTTTGTATAGCACACTGGGATAAAAAATCAAGACTCCTCATGACTGGACATGATTAACCCTGAGCCTACAGCTATGCCAAGTGCAGATGCCCTAAGGGCTGAAGAATTCATTTTTAAGCACACCTCTAGGCCATTCATAGCATACCTGGACCCAGCCACTCCAATCTTCAGAGTTTTATATGCTGCTTCCAGAGAAACAGTAAAGCATTGCTCTGAGAACTTCATTTTTCAATTTAAAGACCTCCAGTATTGCCTATGAGAGCCCTGGTAGCATAGTGCCTAAGGCACTTGACTGCTAACCAGAAGGCTGGTGGTTCAAATCCACTAGCCACTCCTCAGAAGGAAAGTTGGGCAATGTATTTCCATAGTGATACCACCTTAGAAACCCAAGGAGGGGTCGCTATGAGTCGGGTCTGACTCGATGACACGTAACAACAATAATGTTGCCTACTGAATTAAATTCCAGCTCCTTAATCTAGCATTCAAAGTGCTTGATGATCTGGAAACCACCTACTCTAGCCAGATTACCCATGTTTACCCTCTATGAACCCTAAGTTTACATGCAAATAGGTATTAACTAGCCCTTAAACACTCCATACATTTATTTATTCAGTTTCCTTTTCCTGATATGCCTTCTCACATCTTTGCCTGTCAGAATTCTTCCTGTCTTTCAAGAATAAATCCTATACCATTCATGAAATAACCTCCTGATCTACCTTCCTGGTTTGATGCAGCATTAGATAACTGAAACAAATACCATTTTTAGTACCACCAAAAAACATGATACTTATGAGTAAATTTAACAAAAGATGTGTAAGACCTCCACAGTGAAAGCTACAAAACATTGCAGAGTGAAACTGAAGAGGACCTAAGTAAGTGGAAAGTCATGCCATGTTTATAAATTGGAAGACTCAACATTGGTAAGACGTTAGTTTTTCCCAAAACTGATCTGTTGATTCAACATAATTACAATTAGAATTTCAACAGGATTTTTGTAGAAATTGACAAATTTTATAGAAATTCATAGGACCAAGAATAGCCAAAATAATCTTGAAAAGAAGAAAATTTGATGTACCTGGTTTCAAGATAATATAAAGCTGTAATAATCATGACAGGCAGTGATGTAATCATAACTGTTTAACAACTAGCTCAAGGGGAAGAGGCTGATATGATCCATGAAAATTTAAGAATCAGTTCTCAGTAGTCAGTTTGAGCCAGCTCCAGCACTCCAATGATGGTGGTATTTGTCCAAAGATAGATAAATGGAGCAATAGAACAGAATGGACAATCTGGAAATAAACCCACACATATACAGTCAGTTGATCTTCCTGAAAGATGCCAAGAGAATTCTTTCCATCAAATGGTAATGGAATAATTAGATCAATTTGTTGTTGTTGCTGTTGTTGTTGTTGGGTGCCATCAAGTCGGTTCTGACTCAGAGCTACCCTGTATACAACAGAACGAAACACTGCCCTATCCTGCGTGCTCCTCGTGGCTACGTTTGAACCCATTGTTGCACCAACAGTGTCAGTCCATCTCATTGAGGGTCTTTCTTTCTTTTTTGCTGACCCTCTTCTTCACCAAGTGTGATGTCCTTCTCCAGGGACTGGTCCCTGCTGGTAACACGTCCAAAGCATATGACACAAAGTCCCCATCCTCACTTCTCAGAGACATTCTGGCTCTACTCTCAAGACAGGTATTTAACACATGATTTCTGGGGACACAATCTGTAACGTAGTTATACATACATAGTTTATGCATGTATAACCATCTAGAATGTGCCGTAGAAGTGAGTCCCTAGAGAAAGATGTCATATTTGATAAAGTAGAAGGTCAGCAAAGAAGAGGAAGACCCTCAATCGAATGGACTGACACAGTGGCTGCAACAGTGGGTTCAGACACAGCAGTGATTGTGAGGATGGTGCAGAACTGGGCAGTGTTTCCTTCGGTTGGACATAGGGTGGCTATGATTCAGAACCGACTTAATAGCACCTAAGAACAAAATCAACATCTAATGCTTATATTTTAGGAGAAAAATTAAAAGGCTTATTTCTTTTACTAACTCTTTATTGTAATTTGGGTGAAAGTTACAGAGCGTATTTGTTTCCCATTTAACAGTTCATACACATTTTGTTTGATGACATGGATTGCAGTCCCCACAATGTAACCAGCTTTCCTCCCCACTTCCTGCCTTTTCCCTGTGTCCTTCTTTCCTATGTATTCCGGCCCTCTGAGCTTTCTCCTTGTGCAAATGCTGCCCTTCTGATTTCCCATGGTTGATTGTTCTAAGTACACCTCCCTGGTGCAGATGTTGACCTTGTAAGCCTATCTGTTGTTTGGCTGAAAGTTAAGCCATAGGAATGAGTTCAGCTGCAGGCTCAAAGTGTGACTAGGGGCCATGATCTTGGGGGTTTCACCAGTCTCTACTAGAGCAGTAAACCTGTTGTTTTTTTATGATTTCGAGTTTTGTTTGACATTTTTCTCTCATTCTATCAAGAATCTCCAATTTTGATCTTTTTCTGAGTGGTTGGCTGTGATAACCAGAAACCATCTAGTTTTTCTGGTCTCAGGTGTATGTAGGCTGAGATTCTCATGGTCCACTAGTCCCTTGGACTAATTGTTTCCATGATCTTTGATTTTCTTTACTCTTTTTTGCTCTAGACGAGGAGAGACCAAGTTGCATCTTAGATGGCCACTCGCAAGATTTTAAGATTTCAGTTGCTACTGACCAAAGTAGGATGCAGAACAATGTTTTTGTGTAGTATATGACATGCCAGTTGAGCTTGATGTCCCCTGCTACCATGGTCCTGAGCCTGCAGGCTCAGCAACTCACGCCCCTAAAGTGTCTGGTTGTATCTAAGAAGTTATAACTTTACTCCCTGTTAGCTGGGTTACATGTATGGATATTTTTATAGCACATATAAATACATATGTAGAAATATCATCTGCCAAACCTGTGTGGTCATGGGTATATTCCTTTTTGCCTACCCATACCTGATCATCTGGCCTGTCTACCTGTGCATCTACCCATAGATCAATGTTAGTTATTACTGATAGTGCAGCCCTCTGTATGTAAAAGTATCGACCTTTGTTGTCAGCCTGTCTTGTGCACCTCTCTGTATCTTGCTTAAAAAGTCTTATTGATCATGCAGAAAAGATCTGTGTGTTTTCCAGTGTGAAACTAAAATACCATTTACAGTTGCAGTTGCTCTTGACTCTTTTAAAGGGTAGAAGAACCAATCTTGAGCAGAAGTCCCCAGCTTCATCATCTTTTTCCTCTTCAGATACAACCTGTTTCTTACTTTAGGCATCCAGTGACTTCTTGCATGCTTTTCCCTGCTTTCTTCCCATCAGAATCTGGACGGTCTTAATGACTAGCAACTTTTACTTGTTACTCACAGTTCATTCCTTCTAAAATATTTATTCAGCCTAAGAGGTTTTCATCTCTAATTGTTAAATATTGTTAATGAATCAATAAGCATTTAGTAAGAGGGCAGGCCTGAAATCTTACCAAACCTTCTTCTTCAGCCTAGCCCTGCAGGTAAACTGATTTTGTTGATTTATGTTACTATAGAGTCCAGGGGAAGCTGGACACAAAAGTAACAGAGAATTTTCTCTTTCTCTTGACTCTTCCTCCACAGGGAAGATCAAGCAAGAGTCTGTTCTTTTTAAGGCTGCTGTAGGTATAATTAAGGAAGCTGCTACTTCTGTAGTATCTTGGGATCTAGCCTGCCTAGTTCAAGTCTGTTTATTAGCTGAATTCTTTTTCTCTATTGCTCTATCCCTTCCTTTAATACACATTCACATATAGTCCTATTATCGCTTTGGACTTCAAATTAAACCTCTTTTGGAAATTCCTAAAGGCACATGTGATACTATTCTCTTTAATGCCATCAGATTAAAAGAGAGAAAGAGAGAGAGAATACCTCCTAGTCAACTTTCTCGTGTATGAGAGAAAAATGAACTTCCATGTACAAATTCCATAGCTCCAATATGCAGGCTATGTCATGATTGATAATAAACTTAAAGACTCGTGAAAATGATGATGTGTATACTTCATAATGGGCTCAAATATAGCAAGGATCGTGGAGCTGGCGTGGGATCGGGCGGTGTTTCGTTCTGCTGTGCATAGGGTCACTGTGAGTCGGAAATGATTCAACGGCACCTAACAACAACAACATACTTTATATATTGTACACGCAACAAAAGGTTTCACACCTGATGAAAACATTCATTAAATGAATTATTCCATGTCTTTATAATAAATTGTGTGCCCCAAGCTTCCATAAAAACATGTAAGAAGGGTCTTTTCTAATTTGTTTTTTTCCCAAACAGATAAGTGCTCAAAGACTCAGTAAGAACTCACTTATCCACTTGGTAATTATTAAGTAATTTGTTTCTTTCTATCTCAGAGAGAAAAATCCCAGATGAAGATTTCATCATCTTAATTGATGGATTAAATGAAGCAGAATTTCACAAACCGGATTATGGGGATACAATTGTATCATTTCTGAGTAAAATGATTGGAAAATTTCCTTCTTGGCTCAAACTAATTGTAACAGTTAGGACCAGTTTACAGGTATGTGTTTGTTTTTATGCTATAAATTATTTCCCTTGGAGAGGTTAACTTGAAAAAGTTCTTGATCTTAGTTTCCTTAATGATAACATCTCTTTCTAAACCTCTGTGATGTCCTTGAGCATTGATGAGAATAATTCCTAAAAAAGTTTGTTTTGAGAATAAGAAATTCGACCTAGATAGAGTATTCTCTGTATATGGCTCTGTTAACTCCGATTCCCATTCCCATTGTTCTAGATGAGTTTTGATAAAGTATCCCTCAAAAATAACATGAATAGAAAGTCCGTTTTTCTAGATTTTGTTCTAGAACAGCAGTGCAAAGAAAGTCCCTAACACTCTAATTTACTGTTTGACTTTTGTTTTTGTTTGTTTGTTTTTTTTTAAATCATTTATTGCTATGCAAAATTCAGTCCAGTCTGTAATCTGGGGTCAAATTTCTGGTTTTTCCCCTTGCTTCTACTTAGACAACTTTTCTGTAACATGAAGGTGGACTTCCTTCTATATATGCCTTCCTCTAAGAGTTATTGCCAATATTAGAGCATTATATTAAATTTTAGGGAGTCCTGGTAGCATAGTGGTCAAAGCACTTGACTGTTAAATGAAAGGTCAGTGATTTGAACCCACTAGCCACTCCATGGGAGAAAGGTGTGGCAGTCTGCTTCCATAAAGATACACAGCCTTGGAAGCCCTCTGGGACAGTTCTGCTCTGTCCTACAGTGTCATTATGAGTTAGAATTGACTCATTGGCAATAAATTAGGTTATTTATTAAATTTTCTGCAATAGAGAGAGAAGTGTTCTTTTAAATTATCTTCCCTGTTCACTCAGTGATCATTTATTAACATAGAAGTAGAACCAGGAATGTGTATGAGGATATATGGGCTAAGGATAAGTGATTTCACCTTCCCCAACATTCTCATTATAGCTGAGTATCTCCCACTTACATATTCACACCTGGTTCAGAACAGTGATTCTCACCCTTTTCAAAGAAACATTGCCTCTTCTGATGAACATTAAAATCTCATACATTGTATAGTCATCCACTATTTTGATGCAGTCCCCAGTAACAATTGGTAATTTACAGAAAATAGTCTGAACTTATTTTTCACCTGTCCCAGACACCTAGTATAATTCCTATGTATTAGATAATTGGTTTTAATTCCTTCCATGATCAAAAACTAATCCTAACTGCCACTTTGAAGATATTTGTCATTAATCTCAAAGTAATTTGAGCTCAAGAATGTAGATAAATCAATATATGTGTATCATCTTTATAATTAAAATTATATAATTTACCATTATTGGTCAGTAACTTGGTTGTTAAAAATGAACAGTGAATAGAAGAAACCTCTAGGAATATGCTCTCTGTCTAGTATTAAGTCCAAATAGATGCTTATATGTTATTCTCGTACGTATTTTTACATAATGCCACATGCAGTCTCAAAATAACTTCTAAGTGTGATTGGGTAGAACAGATGACTTTTTTCAGCTCTGCCAAAGAACAGAAAAAGTACATACTAACCTACAAAGTCCAAATTTCAGTGTCTCCATGCAGCAAGACCTGCAATAACTTCCCAGATACTTCATTCACTTCAGCCAAGGTTTTTTTTTTTTTTTTTTAATTTTTTCATTCTGCTCTAATAGTGGAATATTTCATAGATTTTTAAAAATGAACCCTCATATGTAATCCTTCATTAGTTCTATAGATATTTCTTAACCATTTAAGTGTGTCAGGCATTGCCTAAGGGGCTGGAAATACAACAATGAACAAGACAGACAGTGGCCCTGCCCTCATAGAGCTTAAATTCTAGTGAAGAACACAAATAATAAATAAGTAAAAAATAAATGTATACTAAAATGTCAGGTAGTTTTAAATGCTGTGAAAACAAATAAAAAGGATAAATAGGGATGGTGTTATTTTAGATCAGATAGGTAGGAAAGCCTCTCCAAGGAGCTTTATAAAGTGATGAAATCTGATTTACCTTTTTAAAAGATCCTTTGGCTGTTGGCTTTGTAGATAATAAAATGTACAAGATCAAGAATGAAAGTAGAGACAGGTAAGAGACTGTTGCAAAAGTACAGGTAAGAGATAATGGTGGCTTAGACTAGAGTGGTAATGGTGGAGGCCATGTGATATAGTCATATTTGGACTATATTTTGAAGGCAACTCAAAAGGACTTGGTGATGGATTGAATGTGGGTATGAGCAGGCAACAAGATTCAAGAATGAATCCTGAGATTTTGGTGAGCACCTGAATAAACACTGATTTAAAGGAAAGAGAAGAATCACAGATACCTGTTCCTGTTTCGTGGTAGGGTTCATGGTAACGCCTTTCATTGACATATGGAAGGTTTGTGGTGGGAACAGAACTCAGTTTTCTGATTTGGTCACATTAAGTTTGTGAAGCATCCAAGTCTAAATGTTGAGTAGAGAAAGCTATAAAATGGAAACTCAGGGAAGATGACTAAGCTAAAACCATAAATTTAGGCATCATCAGCATATATATGGTATTTAAAACCATGGCACTAAATAAAACATCCTAGGAAATGCGGATGACAAGAGAAGTGAAATTAATAGTAACCTGAGCCCTGAAAGGACTAGGAAATGAAAGAGGAGTCGGCAAAAAAAAAAAAAAGGCTGGGTGGAAACAGCAAACGAGGAGGAAAGTGAGGGGCACGTGCAACGAAAAGTGTGATCACATGTGTCAGACACTACTACAGGTTAAGGAAGATGAGAACTGAAACTTGGTTATTGGATTTGGCAAGGTCAAATTATTGATAATCTTGACAAGACCTATGTCATTGAAGTGGTAGGACTGAAATCCTGATAGGAGCCAAATGAGGAGAGAATGGGAAAGGCAGGATTGGAGATAGCAAGTAAACTTTCCTGTGGATTTTACTGAAAATGGATACAGAAAAGTAGGGTCTTGGGTAGACTACGGGGCCATAGGTCTTTGTGGTCTATGTTTAAGGAGAAATTGATGTAAGAGAGAGTGGCTCCTTACAGAAGCAAAGTCCTTAAGTTCGTAAGATAGGATGAAATCCAGTGCATGAAAGTCACCACAAAGCCTTGTCACCTTCCCCAATAAAATTTCCAAACAGACCACCAAGACACTGTGCTTCGCATGATTACAAACATTCCTTTGGTCTAAGGCACCGCCAGGACACCTTTGTTTAAATTCAGTCATTTAATTAGGAGGCTTAGAAAGCAGCATTTTTATATGGCATTCTTTGAGTATTTACACAGTTCTCTTATGGATTTGTACTTTGACATTATAGCATGGCTTACACTGAGAAAGATTACAACAGAAAAGTTTTATGTATACCATACCACTTGTTTAGGAGTACTGTTTAGATTTTCACCCAGTAAATCACTCCTAAATTCCCCTTTATGAAAACCCATAAAAAATGATCTTACGTCTCAATATTAGGAAAAACTGCATTCCTTCTGTGTAACTAATTTGTTTTAATCTATGGATACTAATATGTAATCATGTTTCCCTCTTTGGCCACTCAGAAGTTCAAGATAAATTTGTGGACCTCATAGTTTATCAACAAGAGTTAGGGGAAACTGAAGGTCTTTCTGTCTCTCTCTCCATCTATTTTAGGAAATTACCAAGCTGCTGCCTTTCCATAGGATTTTTTTGGATCGACTAGAAGAGAATGAAGCCATAGACCAGGACCTGCAGGCTTATATCCTGCACCGGATACACAGCAGCTCAGAGATCCAGAATAACATTTCACTTAATGGCAAAATGGACAACACTACATTTGGCAAACTCAGTTCTCATCTCAAGACCCTCAGTCAAGGGTCCTATCTATATCTGAAACTCACATTTGACCTCATAGAGAAAGGCTATCTAGTGTTAAAGAGCTCTAGCTACAAAGTAGTTCCTGTTTCGCTCTCTGAGGTTTATTTACTCCAGTGCAATATGAAGTTCCCTACCCAGTCTTCCTTTGACCGGGTGATGCCTCTCCTGAATGTGGCAGTGGCCTCTCTCCACCCACTGACTGATGAACATATCTTCCAGGCCATCAATGCCGGTAGCATTGAAGGTACACTAGAATGGGAGGATTTTCAGCAGAGAATGGAAAACCTCTCTATGTTTCTAATCAAGCGCAGAGACATGACTCGTATGTTTGTACATCCTTCTTTTCGAGAATGGCTTATCTGGAGAGAAGAAGGAGAGAAAACCAAATTTCTCTGTGACCCCAGGTAAGCCATAGATCTGTAATAAGCTAATCTGAGCCTATTTTGTATTTATGGGATGGATATTGAAAACGGTGAGAAGTGTTCTTTATTGAACACATCACATAGAGGAAACATCATCTCTGTTTGTACTCAAGGCAAGGCTATAATGAACTTAATTTATTTCCTCACAATGTTATTTCCTTAAGACTCTAGATCTGCATGGATATTTAGAATGCTACCCTACATTTTCCTGAATAATTTTCTCTGATCCCACTAAGGATCACAGGCTATAATTAACTTAGCCATTTAACAACTTCCTCAGTATTCTTCAGATAAGAAGAAAGATTTGAGATAATGTTTTTCTCTGACTCATTTAAAACCATTTAAAAATTAGGGTTGCCCTTTTAAAAGCTGTGCCACTATAAGGTCACCAATGAATAACCCTATTAAAAGCCCATTAAAAGCTGGTCCTATAGTCTGTACTGGAAAATGGAATCTTAAACCTGATAGCTGAAAAATACTTGAAGAGATCAGCTATCTCTGGTTTAACTCCTCCCTGCCTTTCAACAAATAAGGTATCATTATCCCCATTTTATTGTAAAGGCATTAAGATGCTGAATCACTTACTCAGGGTCATAAAGTAAATAGATGGAGGAAGAAAGAAGGACTGAATAATGATGGCAAATATATAGTATACACCACCACTCACCCATCATCGTGACCCCATGGCAGACACCACTGATTGACCCCAACACTCTTTCCCAATGACCTTGGTCCTGACTTGAGAGTCTTTCAACTTAGCAAACCAGACTAGATATGAAACTATTTCTCATTCTCTTGGATGGAACCTAGTTCTCTGGTATTCTAGTAGGGTGTGCTTTCTACTCCTCCACAATACTTTTTAAAAAGAATTATTCCTTTAGTAAATTTGGTGTTTTCAAAAGTAAACATATTCCTGAATTCCTGGAAGTAAGACACCAACATAACTCACAAATGCAGAGTTTATTCTGGCTCAAAAAGAAGTTAGACCAAGTTTGACAGTGCCTCATTTTATGATTCATCAGAGAGACTAAACATCTCAGACCGTGCTGTGGTTTTATTACCCTTGTGGCCATGTTCTTCACCAGGCCTTAATAGAGACAGCTGTACTTATGGACATGCTGCTTAGCCTACTTCATGCTGATTCATTAGAAAATTCCAAATTCTCATGAAGATACTAAGGTAGGCAGTAGATTTTGTAGTATTTTTCCCGAGAGGGTAACTTCTATAAAGAAATATGCTGTAGCAGAAAGAACATGAATTTTAGAGTCAGATTACCTATGTATAGATCCTACCTCTTCTGAAAACTAAATGTGACCTTTGGAAAGTTACATAATGTTTCTGAGACTTAGATTTCTTATCTACATGAAGGGGATGATAATGCCGTCTTCCTAAAGTTGTTGAAAGTTAAGTGAGGTTGTGTGATATAATGCCTAGAATACTATAGTGTGACATAGCACAGAAAGTGTTCAGGGAGTGTTCTTTTTCCTCCTCTCACTTTGCAGAAATAGACTCTTCAGGTATACCTTAACTGAATCCTGGGACTAATTGGACAGGGAGCAACAGTCTTTTGCGCTTAGCATTTTGGGGCACAAGATTCAAAACAAAAAATACAAATAAGCCTGAATCTCTTGTGTGAATTGTTTAGTGTTTCCAAGAGGATTTTACTCTAAATCCCACTAGTACTGCTGCCATTGCTTAAATACATAGAATTGGCAACCACATAAATAAGAAATAAAGACCAGACTACAATTGCCTAACAAACACTTTGAGATCAGCTCCCAGAGAGACTTTGCTTGCTGATCTGCTCTCCCAGCCTGGAATGTCTCAGAGGATTCAAGACAGCCAGACTACCACTGAATTAACAGTGTCCAACAGAGGACAGGCCTCAAGTTACAATATTGAAGGATCTACAGGAAAAATATTGAACAATGAAGGAAGTATCAAGGGAAGAGAAGATGGAAGTTATACACAGTTACTGTACCAAAAAGAACTGGTCAGTATTCAACCGTTTCAAGAGGCAGCATATGATCAAGAACTAATGGTTTTGAAGGAGGAAGTCTAAGCTGCACTAAAGGCATTGGTGAAAAACAAGGCTGCAGGAGTTGATGGAGTACCACTGAGATGTTTCAAAAAAAGGAAGCAATGCTGGAAGCACTCACTCATTTATGCCCAGAAATTTGGAAGGCCCGCTGATTGGAAGAGATCCTTATTTGTACCCATTCCAAAAAATAGGTGATCCAAAAGAATGTAGAAATTAACTAGCAATAACATTAATATCACACACAAGTAAAGTTTTGCCGAAGATAATTCAAAAATGGTTGCAGCAGTATATCAACAGAGAACTGCCAGAAATTCAAGCCAGATTCAGAAGAGGATGTGCAGTAAGCAGTATCATTGCTATATGAGGTGGATCTTGGCTGACAGCCGAGGATACCAGAAAGACATTTACCTGGATTTTATTGACTGTATACAAAGGCATTTGACTATGTGGATCATAGCAAATTAGGGATAACATTGTGAAGAACTGGAATTCCAGAACCTTTAATGGTGCTCATCAGGAACTTGTATATAGACCAAGAGGCAGTTGTTCAAACAGAACAATGGGATACTACATGGTTTAAAATCAGGAACGGTGTGTGTCAAAGTTGTATCTTTTCATCATACTTACTCAATCTGTATGCTAAGCATATAGTCCAAAAAGCTGTACTGTAGCAAGAAGAATATGGCATCAGGATTGGAGGAAGACTTATTAACAACCTATGACATACAGATGACACAATTGTGTTTGCTGAAAGTGAAGAGGACTTGAAACACTTACTGATAAAGATCAAATACTATAGCCTTCAGTATGGATTACACCTCAACATAAAATAAAAATCCTCATAACTGGACTAATAACCAGCATCATGATAAATGGAGAAAAGACTGAAATTGTCAAGGATTTCATTTTGCCTGGGTCCACAATCAATGCTGATGAAAGCAGCAATTAAGAAAACAAATTATTAAAAAAAGAAATCAGGTGATGTATTGCACTGGGCAAATCTGCTACAAAAAAAAAAAAGCCTCTTTAAAGTGTTTAAAAAAAAAAGATAGCACTTTGTGGACTAATGTGCATCTGACCCAAATCGTGACATTTGCAGTTGCCTCATGTGCATGTGAAAGCTGGACAGTGAAAAGGAAGACCAAAGAACTGATGCATTTGAATTATGGTGTTGGCAAAGAATGTTGAATATACCATGAATGCCAGAAGGTGACGAGAACAAGTCTGTCTTGAAAGAAGTACAGCCAGAATGCTCCTTAGAAGTGAGAATGGTAAGACTTCATCTCACACATTTGGACTTGTTATCAGGAGGGACCAGTCCCTGGAGAGAAGGGCATCATGCTTAGAAAAGTGGAGGATCAGCAAAAAAGAGGAAGACCCTAAACAAGATGGTTTGACACAGTGGCTTTAACAGTGGGCTCAAACAGCAACAGCTGTGAGGATCACAATGACCAGACAATGTCATTTTGTTGTACAGGGTCATTATGAGGTAGAACCAACTCACCGGGAGCTAACAGCAGTAAGAACAGATGGAAACCCTCAGACCCTCCCAGAGGGGAAGGTACATTATTTATGAAAGCATATCATGACTCTATAGGCTTGTCTTCTCAACGCTGTTTATTAGCTAGAAGCATTGCTGCAACATCTGATGCACAGGGACAAGAAGAGCAGACACTTTTATCTAACTTCACATACTGTATCGTCTGTTCCCTAGATTGAATAACACTCGTGGCTGCTGAGGGATCATCATGTTACACTTAATCACAGAGATAAAATTGTAAATAGGATCAGGGGTTTTCACAAAAGTTTCCTTTAGATTTTATTTCAGTTAGAATTAAGCCTCCTATCCAGTACTGTCTGGCACCAACTTGGTTACTAAAGTATTGATCTCAGAGCTTGAGGCTCCCTGTGTCGATGAGATGGAAATTCACTAAGAATTTAATGCTACTGGCAAAGCCCAAGCTGGCCTTTCAAAGAAACTGGCTGTATACAGTGCTTTCCATTTCAGGCAAGAGTGATTAGCAGGACTCTCTCCAGTCAGGGTTTGTCTTTGTGGTCTTCAGCCTCTACTTACTGCACAGTGTTTACCCCTCCGTTCTCCACTTTCTCCCCAACCTCTTTTCAGGATTCTGTTGTTTTGATAAACCACACTGACCACTTCAGTGCCTTTGAAATCACACCAGGTAGGCCAGTGCCTGACATGCATGTCTCCGTGTAAGGAGCACTCTGTGTAAGGAAGCAGTAGAGCATCTTTCTGTCTTCAAGTCCATTTTCCTGTGCTTTCAACACTCACTTGTTCACCCTAAACTTACTGACCTTATTAGGGAATTAGACACAGATGAGTATATTCTACTGAAGCCAAAAAGTAATTGATCTTCATCAGAATTAGGCCACCCAGGGAGATAGCTTCTGCCTAAACTAAAAAGACTCAATAATCTGAGGATGGTCCTGGAAAGAGGAAATAGCAGGGCCAGAGGTCAGCTGAGGCTGAGTTTTCTTGATTTTAAGTATCAGGCTGCCTATTGTCCTAGAATCAATCAAGGCAGAGAATTGACATCCCAGAGAAAATGGCCTAGTGTTGCAGAGACATACAGTTGTCACAGAAAGAGTGAATTATAGATAATATCTTTTCTTGGCTTACAGGATGAGATTGTGTGTGTGTGTGTGTGTGTGTTTATCAAACTGTAAGAGAAGTATCACTGAAGAATCTAACCACATCAAAAAAATTTGGATTTGCAGTCTAGGTAAAAGTATGCTTCTCAAAGCACTCACAACCCTTAGCCCTTGTCATCTTATTCTGATTATTTCCCACTATTCATCACTGTTGTACTTCTTGCCTCTGAAATTAATCTGGAGCTCTGGTAGCATGGTGCCTCAGGCATTTGACTGCTAACCAGAAGGCTGGCGGTTCAAACCCCCAGCCGCCACTTCTCGGAAGGAA